TTTAGTTTAAAACAATTCTTTAGAATAGTCTTGCAAGTCTCCTTGTATCCATGAAGCAAAAGTCTGTAACAAATATACAAAAAATATAAAGCAAGAAATTAAGATATACTACCAGAAAAAAATCACTTATACACAAGGAAGGACAGAAATAAAGAAAAAAAGGACTTAGAAAACAAGCAGGAAGCAAATAACACAATGAAAGTTGTAAGTCCTTACCTATCCATAATAATATTGGCAGTAAATGGAATAAATTATCTAATCAAAAGACCTAGAGTGGCTGAATGAATCAAAAAATAAGACCCAAAGTAGATTCTGTGTACAAGAAACTAATTTTACTGATAAAGACATACAACAGACTGAAACTTAAGGAATGGAAAAAAGATATTCTATGCAAATGGAAACCAAAACAGAGCAGGAATAACTATACTTATATCAGATAAAGTAGATGTCAAGCCAAAAACTGTGAAAAGAAACAAAGAAGGTCATTATACAATGATAAAAGGGTCAATTCAGCAGAGGATATAATAATTGTAAATGTATATGAACCCAGCACCAGTGCACAGAGATATATTTAAAAATATTAGTACAACTAAAGAGAGAGGTAGATCCCAAAACAATAACAGGTGTGGACTATAACACCCCACTTTCAACACGGTAAAGATCATCTAGACAAAAAAACTAACAAAGAAATGTCAGACTTAATCTGTACTATAAACTCAGAGGACCTATTACACACTTAGAAAACATTTCATCCAAAAGGTGCAGAATACACATTCTTCTCCTCAGCACATGGAACATTATCTAAGAAAGACCATATGTTAGGCCACAGAATAAATCTCAACAAATTTTTAAAATATTAAAATTATATCAAGTATCCTTTCTAAATACAATGGAATAAAACAATAGAAATAAATAACTAGAATTTGAAAACTATACAAATACATGAATATTGAACAACAGGCTCCTAAATGACCAATGGGTCAAGGAAGAAATTAAGAAGGAAATTTTTAAAGTTTCCTGAAACAAATGAAAATTAAAGCACAACATACCAAAACCTAGAGGACACAGCAAAAGCAATACTAAGAGGAAAGATTGTAGCAATAAATGCCTAAGTCAAGAGAAGCATAAAAACTTTAAATAAACAACCTAAAAATGCACCTTAAAGAAGTAGAAAATCAAGAACAAATCAAACCTTGAATTAGTAGAATAAATAATAAAAATTGGAGCAGAAATAAAATTGAAACTGAAAGACAATACAAAAGATCAATTAAACAAAAAGTTAGCTTTTTGAAAACATGACAAAAATCTACAAACCTTCAGCCAGACTAAGAGAAGACTCAAATAAAATGACAGATGAAAAATTAGACTGGGGTGTTGGGGGCAAGTGGAGGGAGAGCATTAGGACAAATAGCTAATGCATGTGGAACTTAAAACCTAGATGACAGGTTGACAGGTGCAGCAAACCACCATGACACACATATACCTATGTAACAAACCTACACATTCTGCAGTTGTATCCTGGAACTTAAAGTAACATTAAAAAAAAGAAGAAGAAGAAAAATGAGACATTACAAGTAATACCACAGAAAATAAAAAGATTATTACAGACGATTACGAGCAGTGCCAATAAATTTTAAAACCTAGAAGAAATGGGTAAATTCCTAGACACATACAATCTACCAAGATTGAATCATAAAGAAATAGAAAACCTGAACAGACCAATAATAGGTAATGAGATAACAATGGTAATAAAATGTCTCCCATCAATGAAAAGCCCAGGATCTTGTGGCTACACTGCTGAATTCTACCAAAAATTTAAGGAAGAACTAATACAAATCCTACTCAAATCATTCCAAAATATCAAATAGGAGGGAATGCTTCCAAACTCATCCTGGAAGGCTAGCCTTATTCAGATACCATAACCAAAGACACCCCAAAGGAGAAAATTGTAGGCCAATATTACCAATAAACATACATGCAAAATCCTCAGCAAAATGCTAGCAAACTGAATCCAACAACAAATTTAAAAGATCATTCGTATGATCAAGTAGGATTAATGTTAGGGATGCAATGATGGTTCAACATACACAAATCAATAAATGCGATATATCACATAAATAGAATAAAGTACCAAAACCATAAGGGCATTTCAATAGATGCCAAAAAAAATTCAATGAAATTTAACATCGTTTCATGAAAAAAACTCTCAACAAAATGGATATAGAAGGAGCATATCTCAAAAGAATAAAGGTCATGTATGGCAAACACAGCTAGCATCATATTAAATGGGAAAAAACCTGAAAGCCCTTTGTCTATGACCTGGAAAAAGACAAAATAACTGCTTTTACCACACAAAAAATATTATTTTCATGGGGTACATGTGTGGGCTTGTTCCATAAATATACTGCATAATGCTGGGGTTTGGGCTTCTACTGAACCCATTACCCAGATAGCTAACATAGTACTCAATAGGTAGTTTTTCAATCATTCCTCTCTTCCTCCCCCTTTTTGGAAGTCCTAGTGTCCATTATTTATATCTTTATGTCCATATGCATCCATTTTTTGCCTCCTGTTTATAAGTGACAACATGCAGTATTAGATTTTCTGTTTCTGCATTCATTCACGTAGGATAATAGCCTTCAGCTGCATCCATGATACTGAAAAGGGCATGATTTTATTCTTTTTGGTGGCTGTGTAGTATTCCACGGTGCTTTCACCACTTTTATTCAACATAGTACTGGAAATTCCAACAAGAACAATTAGTTAAGAGAAAGAAACAACGCCCAGATTGGGAAGGAAGAAGTTAAATTGTCTTTATTTGCAGATAATATGATTTTATATTTAGAAAAAATCTAAAGACCCCACCAAAAACGAATTGGAACTAAGAAACTGATTTTATATATAAAATCAACATACAAAAATCAGTAGCATTTCTAAATGCCAACTGTGAAAAATATAAAAAAGAAATAAAGCAATCCTTTTTACAATGACTACAAAATATAAAATACCTAGAAATAAACTAAACCAAAGAAATGAAAGATGTCTGCAATAAAAATTATAAAACATTGATAAAAAATAAGGACCACACAAAAATAGAAAAAATCCATGTTCATGAGTTGGACTAATTAATATTGTTAAAATGTCCATACTACTCCAAGTTATCTACATATACATAAACACAATCTATGTCAAAATACCAAAGACATTCTTTATAGAAACAGAAAATAAACAGTCCTAAAATTCATGTGGAGCTACAAAAGGATCAGAATGGTCAAAGCAATCCTGAAGAAAAAGAACTAAGCTGGGGCATCAAATTGCCTTACTTCAAATTATACTATAAACTTATGGTAACCAAAACAGCACGGTACTGGCATATGAATAGACACCTGGACCAATGAAACAAAATAGAGAACTCATAAATAAATCTATGCATTTATAGTCAACTTATTTTCAACAAAAGAGCCAAGAACACACACTATAGTAAAGACAGCCTCTGTAATAAATGTTGTTGGGAAAACTGGGTATCCATACACAGAAGAATGAAACTAGACACATCTATCTCTCACCATATACAACACCCAAATCAAAATGGATTAAAGACATAAATCTAAGATCCAAAATTATGAAGTGACTAGAAGAAAACTTTGGGGAAAAGCTTCAGAATATTGGTCTGTGCAATGATTTCTTGAGTAAGACCTCAAAGCACAGGCAACCAAAGGAAAAATGGGAAAATGAAATCACATCAGCTAAAAAACTTCTGCACAGCAAAGGAAACAATCATAAAATGAAGAGACAACCTAGATAACAAGAGAAAATATTTGCAAAGTATTCAACTGGCAGGGAATTAATAATAAAAATATGTAAGAAATTCCAACAACCCAATAGTAAAAAATCAAACAATCTGATTTTAAAATGGGCAAAAGAGCTGAGTAGACATTTCTCAAACTAAGACATACAAATGGACAACAGATATATACAAAGTGTTCTAAATCACTAATCATCAGGTAACTTTATATCAAAATAGCAATGAGATACCATTTCACCCCAGTTAAAATGGCTATATCAAAAACACAGAAAATAAAAACTGTTGGTAAGGAAGTGAAGAAAGGGGTATCCTTGGACATTGTTAGTGGGAATATAAATTAGCATAACCATTATGAAAAACAGTGTGGTAGTTCCTCAAAAACTAAAACTAAAAATTCCATAAGATCCAGCAATCTCACTATTGGTTATATATCCAAAAGAAAGGAAATCAGCATATCAACGAGCTATCTGCACTCACATATTTATTTGCAGCACTGATCACAATAGACAAGATATGGAATCAACTTAACTGTCCATCAATAAATAAATGGATAAAAAATGTGATATATATATATAATAAAATATTATTCCACCATAGATTAAGATTAACCTAACACCTATTTAACTTTTTAATATGTTAGTCAATACATTGTTTTTATTGTATAGCCATTTGGTTGTTATCCTAAAACATGTAACTGAAAACATCTTACTTGATATAGCAACCTAATATTGTTGATTATTTTCAGAATTATAGGATACTGTGAAAAACTATGACTCACAAAAAAAAAAAAATTTAAATGATGTCACTTTATGTGGAATAGATAAAGTTTGTTAAGTATTGTAATCACATTCAAAAATAACTCTTTAAGTTTAAAATAAACCAGGTCTCTAAATCTAAAATATGCCTACACAATGCTGTGGAGAAACACTTAATATATGTATTCGCGAGTATGCATGCTACACATTTGGGTATGGTCGTAATGGATTCATGTCGCCATAAGTATATACACATGGTATTTCTATGTTAATTGGTAGGTTTCCAAAGAATGTGAGAAATGTCTGAAAGATGGAAAACAGATGGAGCAGGAGACCTGAGGGGAGGAGCTAGAGAGCTTGAAGGATTCAGTGAGCAGAGACAGGAAGAGAGAAAAGGCCACCTACAGGTTCCACTGCTGTGAACTGTGGAAAGGGAAGGAGGAGCCCAGGAGGGGCCCCAGGGAAAGAAAGGCAGACCTACTCTGTGTTTAGAAGAAGGGAAGACATCAGTACTAAGAGGAAACTAACACTGCAGTCTTGTGCAGAAAAAGGGCAGAGACTACAGCCACTGCAGCAGGGAAAGGTGGCAGCCCGATGTGGCTGAGGGGCGCCCGCCGCCAACAGGGAGGCAGACGGCCAGCGAGCCAAGCGCTGGGGACACCGCTGCAGTGCTCTTTGCCTGCCTCGCCGCACTCCTACACACGCTCCTCATCTACGGATCCTACCCTCCCCGCTCTTGCAAACACTCACACAGTCAATCGCCTGTTGACCCTCCTTCGGCACAGGCTCACAGCAGAGGCAGCAGAGAGGTGTCCGATTTGGGCACCCAAGGCCCGCGATCCGCAGCGGTGGGGGCCAGGCAGGGCAAAGCCATTGGTGGGCACCAGAATGGAGAGGGGGATGGGAAGGAATCCAGCAGGAGACATGGGGTGGAGGTGGGCGCCAGGCAAGGGTGGGGTGGGGGAGTGCAGTGGACAACAGGGGAAGGGGTAGGAATAGGAGCCAGACAAGGATTTGAAAGTGATACCCAGGAAGCAAGGGAGGTAGGTACCAGGGAAGTGGTTAGGATAGGCAGTGGGGGTTATGGACAGCAGCAGGGGCACAGAGGGCATGAGGGTAGTGGGTGCTGGTCAAGGCCACTTTGCAGGGGATTGGGAGTGGACTCCAGTGGCAGTAAGGGGTTCAGGGAGGGCAGTGGGCTCTGAGCTAGGAGGAGGTGGCCCAGCCACTTCTGCAGAGTTCCTAACCACAGACAGCTCTACTGCACCACTCCAGCCTTTCCCCACAGCCCAAAGGAACTTGAGAGGGAGAGCACTGCAGGCATGCAGCCAGATTTCCAGCATTGCTTCCAGGTTCCTAGGGGAAACTTAGGCATCACTGCAGAGTACATCCAGACATGGCTATAGGGAAAAGTTTGCCTCGTGGCACACTGGATATGTCTCTCTATCCTCTCTCCTTCCCCAGCAGGCATGAAGACCCCCAACGCACAGGAAGCCGAAGGGCAACAAACCAGGGCAGCTGCAGGATGGGCCACTGGGTCTGCAAACATAACAAAGAAAAAAGTCTCCCAAAAGAAGCAGAGACGCAGACCTTTATCCCAGCCCCGCAGGAACATCGTGGGATGCAGAATTTCTCAAGGATGGAAAGGAGATGAGCCCATCACCCAGTGGAAAGGAACCGTTCTGGATCAGGGTGCCTATAAATCCCTCTGTTTATCTGGTGAAATATGATGGAATTGACTGTGTTTATGGACTGGAACTTGACAGAGATGAAAGGGTTTTGTCTCTTAAAATTCTTTCTGACAGGGTGGCATCATCTCACGTTAGTGATGCCAACCTTGCAAATACCATAATTGGCAAAGCAGTGGAACACATGTTTGAGGGAGAGCATGGTTCTAAGGATGAATGGAGGGGCATGGTCTTAGCTCAAGCACCTATCATGAAAGCCTAGTTGTATATTACCTATGAGAAAGATCCTATCTTGTACATGTACCAGCTTCTAGATGATTATAAGGAAGGTGACCTCCGTATCATGCCAGAATCCAGTGAGTTTCCTCCAACAGAGAGAAAGCCAGGAGGAGTTGTAGATGGCCTAATAGGTAAGCATATGGAATATACCAAAGAAGATGGCTCCAAAAGGATTGGCATGGTCATTCATCAAGTGGAAGCCAAGCCCTCTGTGTATTTCATCAAGTTTGATGATGATTTCCATATCTATGTCTATGATTTGGTGAAAAAGTCCTAACTGTTAGGGTAAAATTTGGCTCATGTGTGGAAATAAATGTATAATTTGTAGACATGCAAAAAATGTTGCCTTTCAGTGTATTGAAAGCTTATGGAATCCCTGATAACCCAACATCTTTGCCAGCATTAACTGTTGTTTTGTTCTAAAAAATACAAATTTGTGTGTACGTGACATGCTGTGTGTAAGCGCTTTGTCTTGTTGAAAAGATCAGGTGTGTTTGGTAGATGGGGCATGAAAGGAAGGAACAGATGTCAATTTCGGCTGTGAATAAAGTTCAGTTAGAATCATAATCAGTCATTTAAAAATGGCACCAGACTTAGCTGGTCTGGTCTGGAAGGGGCAGGGGAAAGAACAAGAGATTAGCTGTCTCGGGGAGAGAGGAGGAGGTGACTGCTTAGGAAAAGGTGGAAAAGGGCCAGAAAGGGAGGGGATTCTTAGGGGAGGGGATGACCTATGAGGAGGAAACCTCCAACTGGGAAGGGAGTGAAGACTAACAGAGGGAGAGTGAGATCTTGGGGCGTAGAGGAAAACAGACAGAATAAATTGAGAAGAGAGGAACATAAAGAAGTTTAGAAGATGGACCAGAGTAAGGGGGAGAAGTATCAACCTGACAGGGATCTGGGGAGGGGCTAATGGAAACACAAAGGAAGAGTTGCGTGGGTTAGGGTGTTGGAGGGATTAGAAGAGGGCCACTGAGGAAGAAAGAATTCAAAGAATAAAGACTGAGAGAGGGAGTGGGAATACAGGAAAAGAGTTGTGGGCCCATGAGAGATGGGAAGGTCAAGGAAAATGTTGGACTTCTGGCAGTGTCCACATTGCTCTTCCTGGCTCTATGCACAAAGGAAGTGGCAACTGTCAAAGATGCTGGATGCATTGGAGGTTCCTTAGAAGAGCATTCTGACAGGAATGACTCAGTCAAGTTAATCTGGAGCAAAGTTTATGCCCATAAGGCTTTTCCTGTTTCAGGGAGTTCATGACACATCCACCCAGCAGAACCCCAGCCCTCAGCCTAAACACAATAACATGGTGCCCCACAAGTGCTGGGCTGTGGGCTGCCTCCTCACATTTGTCCTGCACTAGATAAGCAATCCTCGTAGAGAATGGGTCAGTGGGGCTCTCAGAACTTAAGAGATGTACCATCTTGCATTTGGAAAGCACTTTATCCAGAAAAAAGGAAACCTTACTGAATTCAGGTGCAGCAGTCTCATCACACCAGTTCCTTCTGCTGGAATGTTTGTTTTCTATCTAGAGACAAGGTGCATCAGAGGACTGAGCCTAGTGTTTCTCTCCACGGTATGGGGAGTACTTGTCTGTCCATGCTTCTTACAGCAGCTGCCTGAAACCATAGGTGGCTCCAACCAATGACCCACTAAAAGAGGCCTGCTGTCACAATAGTCCACATTCTGGTTAGACCTTCCCCACAAAGCTGGTGTCTGCATACCCCTCACAGGCACCTGTTGGCCAGTCTTGCCTACCCAAGCTCACAGAAATCTGTGATAGAAGTCTGTGAAGCTCTTTGTTTCCAGGTGAGGCAGATGCCATGGGGCAGTCGGGCTGGAAGTTGTGACTTGGTATAACTCATTCAGCTGTACAGTATCACAAGGAAGTGTCAAGGT